TCCTCAGTTTATACAATGTATCCTGATGGTAAATTCCACCAAGATCAAGGAGAACAAGATTTGCAAAATAAATATGAATTCATATTTGTTTGTTTCGCAAGGTCTCCTCACCTGTGAATAGTTGGAAATCAACACAGAATTACTATGGGACAAGATGAGAAGATGATACTCTGGTGTTAAAACAAGGTAACCGTGTACATTGGGAAAGAAATGCTGATACAGGTAGCAAAATTCAGTTCATAGTTTTCTTATTCTATGAACTTGCCATGTAGCGTGAGAGTGACTTTCAATTTAGAAACGTTTGTAACCGTAATAATAAAAATAAAAATAATACTGATGAGAATGCATTTGAGTTTAAAGAGGATTTCGTTTTTGAAGTAGGATTCATCATGGAATAACTGACATCAGATGAAGAAGCATTCAAAGAAAACTTGAGAGTACTCGACAGCTGTTTCATCTTGGCTTGAAAATCCCCACCAGTATGCTTTAGGCGTGAAACCTGAAAACCTTATGTCCGATCTCTGCCGGACCGAGTCATAGGTACGTACTTCAAAGGAGTATCCTATAGATAGGACGAAGGCTTCCAAGTTTTCAATGCTTCTCCAACTGATGTCAGTCCATGATGAATACTTCCTCTAAATCAAAATCCCCATTCACCTCAAAATACATTACTGTATAGTGCCCAATAATGAAATGCTTCCAAATGGGTATCATGAAGTTCTGATGAGGAGCCGTGACCTGTGGGGTCAGCCTGTCAGAAGGGAAGTGGATGTCATCTAAAGACCTTGTGTGATAGTCGCATCATACCTCCAAATGACAGAATTTGCAAACTGTGGACCGTTGAACTCCAACCTAGTGGTTGAGTGGTTGATACGTTCGCTGAGAAACGTGAAGGTCAGGAGTCCGGTCCTCTGCCGGGTGGCTGGTGCCTACTGCTAAGAGGTCCCATTCTAGGATAAAAACAGCCGCACAGTGCTCCGGGGTTCTTAATGGGTCTTCAAATGATGTCAGTCCGTGATGAATATCACACTGAAAATAATAATGATAAAAATGGACACTTCAAAAAAGAATGTACTCTAATAGCGTAATATGTCAATTTATCTCACACCCTTTATCAGTTCATGTGACAAATCAGAAAATTAAGTACAAAAATGAGAGTTAAAACACCAACTGATTTAATCAATAGAATAAAATTAAATTGTAACGTCTCTCACCATTAAAATTTCTCACTAACAGTACAAACTTATAAGATAAAATTCATGGTACTCAGAACTGCCACTTCTCACCAGTATTCCTCTTCAAAACATGATGCAGTAAGCCTTTCTCTGTTACTTCAATGAAATTAAGGCTAAGAAAACGACCAGGAAACTGAGAATTATATCTAATTCCAAGGAAGGCGGTATTTCAAATGTGCGTCAGTACGAGATCCCTAAGTTATCCACCTGTCAGTATAATATCAGGATTTCTAAACTCATTGAGATGTTGAACAAAGGAGATGAAGCTATTGAATGCAATGACCAGATAGACAAACATAGTTGAAACATCTCCGTAGTAATATGTGAGGCTGCAAGATCGGGTGACGTGGGTTTGAGCCCCTCAGGGGACATCACTTTCGTGCAGGTTGTTGGTAAGGGTTGGTGATGAGCATCAGTGAACGCGTAACGGTCCAAGTTGTCAAGCCATATGCCAGCACACTGAGGTAGAATAAACCGAGATGAAACTTGAAGAAATAAAGGAAAGAGCAGTCAAAGTTGGTGGAAAGTGTCAAAAAAAGGTGCAAGAAACAATCAGATAATCGTAAAATTCAGTATGGATATGTCGACAAAAACGCCACATTTCTTGATTTCGTCAAAGTAACTATGACTCTCTTCTTGGTACAGTTAGGTAGTTCTGCGCCTCTATCACTGCTTGTGAAAGGCAAGTATGTGTTTTATGCTAATGATCACAGATGGAACCTGTTTGCTTACGCAGTTAATCCTTATTCTGAACCAGATGGATATCAACTAAAACATTGTTAAGTCGATCAAATGTAACTCTCAGTTCATAAGATCGTAATGCGGAAGATTAGTGGTGCGAGTCTTTAAACCACGATGGTCTTGTAAGCTATCAGGCTTCGGTTAAGTACTCTGAAAGCAGTACAACTGGAAGGTAGTCACTGTTGTCTAACCAATCCTCAAGACGCCTGTAGTTATACCTTGTGAAGGTGAGCGATATTCGATTCAGAATGCCGGGTTGTAGCTATAGACTTGTTTGTAACTTCAGTAGGCCGTAGAGAGCCACCGCTGTGAATCTGTCACCATTATACGTTCATGGTTCAAGCCTTCTAGAAGGATGTCTTTCTAGAAGCTGCATTTAATTAGAAAGGTCGTAAGGACGTTATTAAGGTGCTTTGACGCCCCACATGAGTAAGGTCAACGAACCGACTACCCGGACAATATGCATACATTAAACATAACAGATGGGAGGGGGTTTTTGGGGTAATACTGACCAGTTGACGGGATGTTAACAGAATGTCTAGGCAGAACTGTTCGCTTTCATGTGAACACGTTACTCAATGAGTAAAATGAACCATCAGGTTGAGCTGGAACGTCCATAGATCTGAAGAGCTGCCCGGAACTTGGATTTGAGATTAAAATTAGAGTGAAGTCCTGGATTCCAAATTGCAATGCAAATCCAACATATATACTGAAGCTTTTCAACACCTACGTTGGTTTGTAAGTCAGATCACAACGGAGAAACAACTTCTGTCAGTACTTCACTGTCGATACACTTAGTAGAGAACCGTTAGGCTATGAAGAGTTGGAGTTATACAAACTGTACTACACTCAGTGGTTGCTGGTTAAGTCTTGTGTGGGCTCATCTTTTCATTTTACCTTCTGTCTTTACCAAGTATCAACAATAAAACTCTGCCAAAGCAAGGCTCTACCTCAGATAGTCAAAATGATAATTAGTTAGTAATTGTGTTTAGAAACAATATTTTTTCAGATGGTCTGTGCAACCACCCCCTCACATAGTTGGCCACCCATTGCCATGTACTATGTACTGAGCAGTAACTCGGAATTATTGCAGTGATTTTATGCATTTTCTGGAAAAAAGATTTTGGAGTGGCAAACAAACCAATGAAATCATTTGTAATGCACATTTTACAGGCTTGAGGAATAAAGGACTTAGAAGACCGTTCACAAAAACTACGGTGGTCAGTCTAGTCTAGCTGTCGTATCGCTCAAAGTATTCATGAGCACCAACTAGTAGTATAAAGCAACATTGACACAACCTCCTTGGTTTCAGCACACTCAGGCAATCCCAATCACAATTTCGACTGGGAGAATATGGAAATCCACCAAACAGTAGTTTACACAGCTACAGAAAGATCTCCAGAAGCAAGGTGTTCCAATGAAAAATTTCAATCAACAGTGGTGTGGATATAGACCGAATCTATAGTCTGCTTATAAAGAAACAGCCATCTACCAACCAGGATATTCACTTATTCAACCTTATCCTAGACGTACTTATGGCGGCTTGCCTCTTGTAGTCCGACTCCATAAGGAATAATCTTCCCACAGCAGATTGACTTTTGCCAACTTACACCATTTGTTCTTCAGAATAAATAATCCGAACAATTAGTGGGATCATAGGCAGTAGTTTTGCTGGAAATAATGCCAAAATTCAGTAACACCATTTTGTGTATATATTATCTACGTCTATATTTATGTAGTGATTCCATTGTTCAGTCATCTTTATAACGAAGTAACTCACTGACCACGTGAGTGTTTTCGCATTGAGCACTGAGTCACATCTCTTCTAGGAAAGCTAGAAAAGCTGCCCAGATCTCCGGATGACATTGAAGTGACCAATCAGTCCGAAGGTGACCGTGTATAGTTGTTGCGCAGGTGCTTTGACTGATTGAAACAACTTCGCTAAGTATAGATAAGCTTATGGAGAATTTTGATTGAATCGAAAGGTATTATTTCTCGCGATTTCTTCTCTCATTATTGGCTATTTTTTAGGGTTATTCATGAACCTGCGTTTCGTTTGATGAATAGAGTTAAGGACAAGAAATTTGTACTGCAGTATGCTTTTGCATATCAGGTCACAAACCCTAGAAACCTAATCAGAATCCTTATTTTCACTCCCTAAATCCTACTACCTAATTTGATGTTCGCACCACCCGTTATGTCATAAACCAGAGTCAAGATTCTGTAGGTTTTTACCTAATATCCAACTGCAAAACCTCAGGTTTATTTTGAACTCTCAATGTCTAATTCATTAATCCTTTGACAAGAGGTTCATATAAATTATTAGAAGCGATAGGGGAGCACCTCTTGAAGGCTGATTTACATCCATATCACAGTCATACTGATGAATATCTTTAACATAAGTACCTTGACTTTAGGTAGTAAAAAGCATTCTACATTAAAAATTAAGAATAATCATAGCCGCTTTCCTATTGGATTATTCAAGGTCATTTTTTGGTCGCTCAAGGACAGTGAAAGTCAATGGTACTACCTCATATTCAGCTGGACAGAAAGCCAATGCAAGGGTGTGCAGGGAATGATTTGTTCTGAGGACTCGCGAAAGGTAGTCTTCATCTACATCTTGAAAGATTTCATGAAGTGATGCCATATCTAAGTCTGATCAGACAGGGTCTTCTTCTAATCCAGTTCCACTTCGGGATATTTGCGCCACTTCACTCGGGGGAAGATTCACAACCTCATCCACTGACTTGTATTCCTTGCCTAGTTTTGTTAGCTAAGTCTCAACCCTGCTCGCGCGATGATTCCATCATCACTGGGCAGTACTACGAAAAACTGTAATCTCTTCATACTCTCTACTTTCAACAGTCATGTCTTATAGTCGTATAACAGGAGAGAGTGGAGCACATTATTCCTAACAGGCAGTTGGATATCTCACCTGCTCAGTAATAGCCTATCCACTATGATAGTAGGATTGATCATTTATTCAAAGTTGGTGAATTTATAAAGGGAAAACAGTCAACTTACAGGACAGTGCACCTCCCATAATCGAAATATTGATTAGGAAAAATAATTTTTCAAAGAATTGGGGTGTATTATGCTAGTTGTTACAGTGACATCGATGACTGTTTCATCGATGATATATTTGTATTCACCAGAGAATACTACTTTCTATAAGTGGTTTCATCTTTTGCTAATGTCATGTTTGTATGGCGGTGGGTGGATGTGTAGATGTATATTATTTTCAGCCAATCAGATCGTGATAATGATAACAATTCTTGTGAGTAGCTTTTTAATCATAGTAATATATATAGTCCCACCCACGTGTGAAAGCATAATCACCAAATAAAATGTCAAAAAAATTTCAGCAGATTGTGTGTGTGTGTGTGCATGTGGTATGTGCACTTTTCAGGGCGTGTGAGAGATAGTACTTTTCACTGAATATTGATCACTAGTGATGTCCTTTTAAAACACGTGTTTATGTGATCAACAGAAGATATATCAGTCTGGTAGCTTGTGGAGATGGATCTATTTCATCATGAAATTACATCAGCTGGAGAAACACTGAAAACCAGAAAGCTCTATACTGATGTTTCGTCCGAGTATATGGGACATCTCAGTGATGCTGGTTCGAACCCTGCCACGAACTACATTTTCATCCTAACTTCAATCATCACCCACTGTCAATAAAAATGATGATAACGTTTGAAGCGATGGGTTTTACTGAGTCCGAACCCTGTTGAGAATAACATCACTCACTGGGGTCAAGGTATATCTAGCTGACGAGTCCGAAATAGGACGAAACGGGCTTCCTGGATTCCACTGCTAGCCATCAAAATCAAAATGAGCTGATTATAATCCTACTTATGATAAAATTAGTGAGAACAGCATTGTACTGCAGACATTTATTGGAAGAATCAATGTAGGTCAAAACTTAGAACAAGGATAAAAGTTGTGCAATACGAAAGAATCAAGTGTGTAGGTAATCAAAGTCTTGGTGAATTCTAGGACATATATTTGAATAGAATGTGATGAAACGGTTCGCCAAACGCTCTATTTACGCGTACAATCGAAAACACGCCATTTGTCTAAAATACACTTCCTTATTGATAAAAAATCCTGAAGAGCAAACTAAAAGCTTTGAATCGTGAGGTATCTGTGGGTTATTGCTATCAAAGCACCTTACAGAGAGTACGTCAACAGTTCGACAGCAAGGGAGTATCAAAAGCAAATCTGAAGGGGATATAAAATACGCTGGTATTTTCCTATGATGAGGTAGTTCATAATGGTGTTAGAATCTCTCTCCTTGGTTGTTCCCCAATGTTCTATGTTACATTGAGCATAATATGTAGATGGGATTGAAGAGAATGAACAGTCAACTTGTGGATGAGGTAACATTAATTGAACTACTGAATAATATTAAGTAGTATAAACTGAATATATGAAACGGGATGCAAGAGTAGCATCGTAGGGGGTAAACGAGAGCCAGTTAGAAAGAAAATATCTTTTAAGTCATTTATCAAACGTTTTCCCTGATCAAAGGAGGGATAAAAAGTCTTACAAATGTTTTTTTGTTGCACACAATGACTAGGAACACGTGCTTTACTGGAGAATTTTGTAGAATGCGGAAGATGATTTTGAACGCTTTGCTCTCATCTGCTACATGACTATTGTTGACGAATAGTGAAAGAACTGAATTTTGCATTGACTTTGTTTATTCCTTTCCTAGAACCGAGGGTTGATGTTTAGGTACACGTTTGTTAATCAGCCTAGTAGTACATCAGATATGGCTTTCTCCACAGAAGCAGCTGAATTGGTAAATGGACACGGAAGTGGTAAAATTTGGCAGCTTACCTTTTTCACGCATAGTATCAAAGTGGTTGAGACTGAATTTTAATAAAAGTGTAAAATTGTGAGAGAGATAAAGCGGTGAAAATGGATCGTTACCGTGGTAGGAATAAATTGTCAACTATCTTCTTTGGTACCAGCAATTTGTGCCAAATTTGTCTTAGGTAGGCGTAAATTCTTTTGTGTATTAAGGACCTATTGCCTTGTATTCAAGAAGTAATATACTATCAAACTGTTAAATGAGGCAATCAAGACTCTTGACTATATGTTCAGTGATTGTGGTGGACGACTACCTCTCTCACTCTTTTATGTAACTGTTTCCGAATATAATACACGTCAGTTGATGAATTGTAGTTCAAGTGAATGAAGGTAGGAAACTGGTCTGGTTTGGACAGTGCAAATGAACACATCATTTGATTCCATGTACCACATCATCAACTTTGAATTCAAGTCTCTCAAAAACAATGGTTTCTCCTCCTTCAATTAGCTTATCTTCCAAGAACAGTAAGTCTGTTCCCTAATGTAGCGTGTCTGATGAACCGTTATTACAGACTTTCGAAAAAAGCTGTTGAAGTTCAGAAGCTGGCCTCTAAAAGTGGTTTTACGGTGACATCTCTTTTCTGTTAACGTCTCCTTTGCATTCATTGTTGTTCAGTTTCGGATTGATCATCAGAGCAGGGGGAACACTGAACCTCCGAATAAATATTTGTACACGTTGAACATAATCCTCAGCCTACTGCGAGTAAGATATATTTACTCTGACTGTCAATTTTGGGCTGTCATTTTTTGTATGACAGTGAGTCATGAGACAACAATTGACTCAGAACTTACTCATTTAACCATAGTATTGGTTTATGAGACCATGTTAGGTGTACATTTGTGTTTGACCTCCACAGTCTTCAAGTTTCAAGAAAATATATGCATATACACACAAATAGAAGACGGTAGCAATGGGACCACCATTATCTACAATCGTAGGGCATATATTTATGGATACCTGAGAAAGCATGACTTTGAGAACATTTAAGCCTACATCAAAGATATGGTGGCAATATGTGGATGACACATTCACTATGTTGAAATCAGAACATATCGACAATTTCCTCACACATGCATACTAAGTAGTAAACGCAGTCCAATTCACTTATGAGGTAGAAAATCAACAACGACAATTACCTATGTTGGATAACAGAGTACAGTGAAGGATATACAGTGGTTAGGATACTACTATCTACAGGAAACCGACACATTCCAACAGGTATCTAGACTTCAAGTCATCTCATCCAATGTTAGTCAGTTAAGGCAGACTTAGTCAAATGTCTAAGTGATAGGGCTAGAAAACTGGCTAGTCAGTGCAACGACCTAAACAAGGAACTGAAGCACGTGAAAGAAGTGTTAACACTTGATAATTATCCTCTACAGTTTATTAAGAAATTCGTACGAACACACATGAAAAGATGAGTAGGAATGATAACGACAACACGAGTAGAAAGGAGTTGAAAGCCTCTATTGGGTTACTGTTTAAGGAAGCGATATCACAAACTTCACATAGGATCCTCAACAAGACTGGAATTAGGATGGCATTCAAATCTACAAACTCAGTCAGAGATCAGCTTTTCCGGAGGGCTTGAGGATGCGATAGAACCGATTAAGCAGAATAATCTAATCTACACAATTCCATACAGTGACTGTGATTGGGGTCAAGTAGATAGGTGAAAGTAGGTGGTTGGGGTCAGTTAGAATAGTGGAGCAAAGAAATTTGGCTAAATATAGAATGACAGACCCGAATAAGATCAATAATCTGGAAAGTAACTCGTCTATTGCATGCATAATAACACACAACCACACTCAATAGGGGGTGGGGTGGGGTGGGATAAAACCACTGTATTTAATTATGTCCAATATTATGAGGTGGAGAGAGTGAGATTGATCACTGAATGCTTGTTCGTCAAATCAACGCTGAGCAAATGTAATAGGAATAACCTGAGATGTAAAACATTTTATGCTATTATCTTAAACAAAGAATACCAGTTGATAGAGAAGCACAGAAACCGTATTTCAAAAGTTCTGTGGTTACACTGACACGATTATGAACAGCATTGTGACCTTGGAACGTCATCTAGTTGATGGGACTGTATTACACTCTGTGCTATATCAGATAAAACAGTCTCGTATGAAATTATACTCTACAACAATGGCCAGAGTTTTGGCTATCCATTTTGTTGTCCTCGATCTATTTTGAATTTGCAGTTACAAGTCATAGTGGAATAGAAATGAATGGATGACAAAGATGTTTCACATACAGGATTCATCAGTATCTCTTGGCATCAAGACCCCATGAAAGGCTAGACTCTTCATCTTCTGCTTAATGAGTAGGTTAGAGATGCGGTGTAGAGCTAAAGTTTAAAAATCTACAACCTGTATTCCCTTGAAAAAAAATTTGATCAAGGTGGGGAAAAAGCATTTGCAATGCTATGGCATCTTATCTCGTTAGCTGCCTCTACTTCAAGTAGTCGGCGTGCTAGAATCGGTCGTATGACCATCAGACGTTGACAAGCGTGATTCACAATAACATCGGGAGGCTTAGTGTTAAGAATTCTGAGGCTCAGATAAAGCAGCCACGCATTACTTCTAAGTTTACTGGGGTTTTTAAACGGTTCAGTTTCTGATATAAGATTTATCTTTGGATAGAAGTTGTGATAACAAACTTGATCCATAGTAGATGAGCTAAAAGATTAAGTCGTTCCGTTCGGTTAATACTGTGATAAATATATCAGACTGTACAATAGGTGTAAGCAAAAATGTTTCCATTTTAAACATTTTAGCGTGTTATTCCCTATCGCAGTGGCTATCATGACTCAATGGCATTGTAAGTAAAGCTCTAGTGTTTGGTGCGGTCCTTCCTGGGTATGAGTCTTGTTAGAAAGAACATCAATCAGAGAGAGACAGGTATATCTGGCTGACGACTGGGTCTCAAATAGGATGAAACTTGAGTCGTCGGTTCTGGGTTTAAACTCCTCCTCATGTGACTTTGAAAATGATACCTTCACTTCTCAGACGTTTTAGCAAAATACATGAAAGGAACTTTTAAAGTGTAGGATTTCTTAAAATTAAACAAATACCAAATCTAAACATTCACTGACTTAAAAAACCCACCTTGGTAACTACATAGATAACTTATTTTTTCTTTTTATTTCAGACAGAAGGATAGTTTTCTCCCAAAATGAAGAAATTTAATTGGTTATTTTGGTAGTTACTGGGATGCCGTGTAATGATGCATGTGAGACGAAACTATTAGGTGGAGCAATAACTTAATCAAAGGTGTTGTAGAAGAGGACCTCAATTTGAAATCACAATAAACGTTACTAGCGATACTGTGGCTAAGACCAGTGTCACATTGGGACA